CCCCAAAAAAAAAAGGGTAGATAGGACAAAAAATCTCATCGTTGTTGTATGAGACCCTTTGCCCAGCTTAGCTCGATTGTGACTTTGAATGCAGTGTGTGGCCGTTCATACTGTGCCCGTTGCCTGTTGGACTGACTTCCATCCGAGCTGGACAGAGCCAGAGGGGCGAGAGTGCGGTCTTGTGCCAACGTCTTGCCCGTCTCCGAGATTCTGCGTCTTAGGTAAGCACAGTCCCGGAAGAGTGTCGCTTCCATTATTACGTGATTGGTCCGAAGCTCTGACAGCTGGCACTGTGAGAGACTCCAGCTCAAGAGCTCCCGTGCCCCACCTCGTCTGCCTTTTTTCCCAAAGAACAAAAACCGCGGTTGCTACGAAATTTTTCCCACCCTTCAACCTCCAACCTCACCTTGACTTGATATCGTCACCGCCGACCACCCAGCACCCACGATCTTAACGTCGACGCGAGCGTACTTTATTCCTTCTCAGGTCGGCATTACATATGTCAACATAGCAAGCCTGTTTCTGAGGCCGGTAAGCTTTTTATTTGCTTTTTTAACCTCTGCGCTATCTAAAATTTCTCTCCCAATCACGTCTTGGGTGGGAAAAGACCACGATATGATGAATCCATCAAACCTTTTATACTCATAGGAAGAGCCGTCTGAGACGCCCCGGGCATTCAAACAAGGGAGGGGAGAGAAAAAAAGAAGGGGAGAAGAGGAGAGGAAGAAGAACGCGACACTCTTTTTTCAAACTACCCCCTCATTCAACGCTGTCGCGGACCAATTACTGGCCAACAATGCCTTTTCATCACAAACTCTCTGAGGCGCACTCTCCACTGGGAGCTCTGTAGCTTCAGAGGGGAGAAGTCACATTGTTGGTTTTGCAGAAAAGGGAAGCAGCAGCGTTGGGGGGGGTGTAGGGAAGAGGAGAGCCGCATTCACTATTCTCTTTCTTTATTTTCCCCCGACGTTTTTCTTTCCCCTCCTTTGGCTCCTTTGGCTTCGCCCTTCGTGAGACCTCTATCTTCGACTGACATCATGGGGCTTGGGAACTTTGCACCGTCATGTGCTGTCTCTTGTTCTCGTCGGGAGGGTAGGGGCGGCGGCGGGTGGGGTGGGAACGTTGTGCTTTTAACTCGGGTTTCTGAAACTTTTTTTTAAACTGGTCAACTCGTTTCTTGTTTGATTGAGTCTTTCTCAAGGAAGTTTTCACTGACTTGACATTGCTAGAAAAGTATGCGAGCGTTGTCGTTGGAGTTTGGGTTGCAGGGCTGGAATATAATTGGTGCCGAGTTGGGATCACGGCATGGAAAGGACCAAGGTAGGTCAGAGCAGAGTAATTTAATATCTTCATTGAATCGTTATCGCCCCTTGTGACCATGACCTAGTGATAATAGTGTCCCATCGCCTTCCGAATACATCATGACCCATACTCCAAACTCATAGAATGTACCTTTCACAAGTGACCCAAAGCTTGGTCACGTCATTCGTCGCTATCACTATCAAACACCGGTCGCCTCCTCTGCTGTCGTCCGCCCGCCTGCGCCCGCGGAGTGGCATCCTCGTCAGATTCACCCTCCGGAGCCACCGCCCTTGAAGTCTTCTTCCCCTTACTGCTGAGAAGCACGTCGTCGAGGTCCGGTAGCGAGTCCGCAGACTCCTGCGTCCCAGGAAACTGAGTCGGCACATAAAACGGCTGAGCGGTCCCTTTAGGCCTTGCCACTGCAGAAGCTACGATTGGACTCGTCGCTAGCGTCGACGACGTCGGCTGGATGCTGGAGACGGGGTGGTCGTCCGAGACGACAAAGTCCAGCAGGTCGCCTCCACTGTCTGAACCGTCCGTGTCCATCATGTCACTGTCCCTGTCGCAGGCGTCGCCGAGCTCGTCGCTGTTGATACCCCGGGCGACCCTCTTGGAAGCCTTCTTGCCGCGTCCCCTTCCAGCAGCCTTCTTTGGCAGGCGGCGGGGAGGCGACTCCTCGTCCATCGTCTCGTCCATCTCGTCGTTGACCAGGGCCGAAGCAGACGTGAATGCTGCACGCTTGGTTGTACCGGTCGATCGGCGTTTCTTTGGCCGTGGCTCCTCGATGGGCTCGTCCTCGTCAGACGACACTGGCGTCGCGATTTGCACCAGAACCCCAGGACCTGACACGCCTCCTACTCCTCCGTCTTCTGTATCGCTCGCAAACGACGGCACCGGAATCTCCCCGTATTGGCTCGTGTCTTCCTCTCCGAAACGGCGTACCCAGCGGTTTCTCTCATTTTGATTCTTGGCAAACTTCTGACACAGCTTAACGTACCTCTTCGTGCGCTGGCTGTGCTGGACTCTGCCGACTGGTCGAAGCCGGCGCTGAAGCAAGGGGTACGTGGACAGCTCCGGCATCTCTGTTTCTTCTATCTTGGTTCGACTAGCAGGCAGGGACCGATACACCTTGTCCAACTCGGCCAGTTGCGCTTCTGTGAGCACGACCGAATCGAGCGAGGGTACGTCGGCGACGAAGTCGACCTCTGTCGGCTCTTGCTTTTTAGGGCGGCCCCTTTTGGGCACCGCTTCGGGTTTGCCGATCGCGGACGCCTTCACGAATCCCATCTCGACGCCGTCCGGCATATGGAACTTCTTGGGCGGCAGTTTCTTTCTCGCCCTTCCCTTCTTGGGCTCCGGAAGCGACGGGTTCTGCGTATTCTCGATGGGGATCTCGATGTGCTGCATGTCCACCTCTGGGCGGATATCTCGAGGTACGATACGAGCCGAAAGGTCGTGGCGGAAGTTGAACTTGCTCCCTTCGCAGATCAACTTCTGCATTTCCGCATAGTTGTCTTTTGACCTGGCAAAAGCATCCTCTTCCTTGCCTCTCATAAGCAGTAGCACAATGTTTCCGGCCCTCTTCCGGCCCGTTCGGCCCATTCGTTGCAGCATTCGGATGGGCGAGGACGACGCATCATAGCAAACAATCAGATCGACTTGGCCAATGTCCAACCCCTCTTCTCCGATGGACGTTGCGACCAGAACGTTGTATTCGCCATCCTTGAATTTCTGTATCGTCGCGATCTGTTCAGCCTGCTTCATGCCTGCGGACCGCTTCGAGTCTGCTTGTCCCACAAAGACGGTGGCCTTGATCAGCGGTTTGTGAGCGTTCAGAACCCGAACAATATCCTCGGCGCTGTCCCTGTACTCGCTGAACACTATGATTCGAGTGGAGGTTGCACCTGAATCCATGAAATGGTTCAGAACGGTGTCCTGGAGAGCGGCCAGCTTTGGGTGACCAACGAAGCCGTCCAGGCGAAGCCACTTTTCCACCCTGGTCATCATCTCTTGGAAGCTCGCGTCGTTAACAATCTGCTTCTTGTATTTGGATCCCTTCTCTCCCTTGTCCTCAATCTCGCTTCGGAATTCTTTCAGATTTTCGTAGAAGGGTCTGACGCCGTGGAAACTGAGCAGTTTGATCGCGTGGGCTAAGCTTTGTAGAATGCTGAAAATAGCCCTCATCATGAACTGCACCCCAGGGTTGGCTCTTCGTCCGACGTTGGCGAACCAATCTTGCTGCTGCTTCACCAGACCATATGTCGTGATCGCCATCGGATCTCTTCCGTAGTAGATGTTTTGCTGGGTAAGCTTGTCCATTAACGGTTTCAAGGCCTTTGAGAACAGCTCTTTGATCTCGCACATCTCATCAGAGGGATCGAGGACTACTTGCTCGACATTCCTTTGATGAACGTACTGACGAATATCGATTGAATCCTCGGTTCGAATTTCGATGTGGGATATTCCGAGATTGTCAATGATCTCTTGCACAGTCTCGACCTTCGACCCTGGTGTTGCTGTCAAGGCCAGTAGGCGGAAATAGGGGTTATATTGACGTATTCTCTTCACGACTTTTGCGTAAGCATACTCGCCCGTTGCTCGATGAGCCTCATCAATCACCAGAAGTACAATGGATTTCGGATCCGCGTAACCGTGTGATATGTCGTTTTGGAGGGTTTGCGGCGTCATAAAAAACACTCGCTTTGACGCCCATTCGTCTACTCTGAGAGTGGGCGCTGTGTCGCCAGTCAGAAGCGTAGTCTCGGACCGGGGTATGCCCACGATGTTGAAGCAAGCATCGACTTGTTGAGCGACGAGCGGTTTGGTAGGGGCGACAAACACGATTTTGGCATCCTTAGTCCAACGATAGTAGTTCAGCATCACTGTCGCAGCAATGAATGTTTTGCCAAGACCTGTAGGGAGCGCGACAAGGGTGTTATTGAAGAGGCCGTTTTTGACGATACTGAACTGGTAATCTCTGGTGGCTCCTAGGTTGGTGGGATATAACCATGTCTTCATGGCTTCGCGATCTATGGCGTGTTGTGAAGGGGCCTCCTCTGGCTTGTCTCCTCGGTAGACACGACCAAATCCTGGCTGCAACGGCTGAATTGGGGCGTCATCTGCCACCCTGCCACCGAGCAAAGTGGTCTGGCGAAAGCTTGACGATGAAGTACGCGCCAGACCGTTTCTAGCGGGTGGTGCAACGGGCTCCGGTGAAGAGGAGAAGGCGTCAGAAGGTAAATCATCGAACTCGGTCCCTAGAGGCTGAATGGTCGTCTTTCCCATATTCTGCACTGATGATTAGCAAATGCTTTGATCGTTGAAATAAATGAGCATGTAAGCTTACTCTCAGTCCTGTGTTTATATCGGAGGGTTGTCCTTGACGTCCAGCGTTGGCCCGACTGTGAGATGGTGCCAGAGCCTGCGTGACGGACGACTTTCTGCCTTGTGAAACATTTTGCAAGTTGAAAACGCCCGAGCTCACAGGTATAGCTTGGCTCTGACTGAGTGCCTCAACCAAATCCTCATCTGCGAGATCGTCGTCGTATTCGTCGGAATCCATTTTGCAAGGTGGCTCAGTTTCAATGAGAGAATCAGCTGCTGATTCAGCGTCAAGATGCGATCATAGTGTGTCCTTTTTACGGAAATGACTTTCGTGTAAAAAGGGTGATGACAGGACGCCTGGGTGTTTGACGGGGACATCCATAGGTAGTCATCAAAGGCGCGGTGGCGACCTCTCTTCGATGAGCATCTCACTTTCCGCGACAGACGCGTCGTCGCGCGAAAGCGTATCTGAGTCACATGACCAATTGTTGCTTATGTAATGGGATACAAAGTTAGATAGGGTACTGCAAGCTCAAGCTCAGGGTCTCAGGTGGGACAGAGGTTTTCAGGACATTGAGGTTAGGTAGGTGCCTGCGAAATCTGAAGACCAAACCACGATCAGGTGAAGTATCAGTAATGTGTTATCGGTAGGACTTTGGTGCTGGTAATATTGTCCATCCCCATTTTCCATAGGTGTCTCTAGTTTGCATTTTGTTCCCTGACTCAATGGTATAAGTTTGTCCCACTCCCATGGAAGGACCCTCAAACCCGCCACTGCTGGCCAACAATTGACGGTGGGTAGCTGACACGTGGTGACAAAACAATGGAAGCCAGGGACGTTCGTTTCTTTCCTCAAGGTACTTGACCACTTGGTAGCCGCTCCTATAAGAAGCCCATCTCCCGGAACAGAGGCGTAGGAAAAAAAACCAGCATGGCTGCTTTGGCTGTGAAGTGCCTTTCCGTAAGGTCATGTTTAATGTACCTTGGCCAGATAATGTGTAGGAAATGAGGCGGGCAGTTGGTCGAGAGGGAAACGGGCTAATCCTATTTGAGGGAGGTCGCATGCGACCGGAGCGTTCCTGCGTGCCTGCCTGGAGGAGGCCTGTAGTGGGGCTGACCCAAACGTCACTGCTTTTCGCGACCGACGAATTTCTTCACTGCTTTCTTCTTCACCTCATCACTCACATCACCTCCGACACCACCCCTAAAGCTGCGCATTCTTTTCAGATACCGTGCCGACGGCTCTCTGACCATTTTCTTTTGTCGATAGCCAAAAGCGCTACCAATTTTATACATTCTGTTTGCAGCAGTCCACGAGACTGCGCCCAGGTCCATTGGGCCTTTGTGCTCTGAAGCTATCCGCGATACAACAAGAGACAACAGCCTTTCGCTTTGCAACAATCAAGCGGCATCCCGCAAAATCCGACATTCTTTATTCGAATCTTTCCGGAAGCGCGCTGTCATCTCGCACTCCCTCATCGTCGCATCCGCCAGCGGATTAAGAAGCGAAAACCACCTACGAACGCCTTCTGGCTACCTACCGTCACCTCCAGCCACACCTTATTCGTCGCAACAACTTCAAGATGGCGCCTCCGAGAGCCCCTCGAGGCATGACATCGCAGCCAACGCGCGAAGGTCGCAACTCCACGCTGGGTGCCAAGACCTCGCGCGGCGGCGGAATTCAGAAGCGCAAAGGTGGCAGAACCCAAACCGACAGAGATGGGGATCTCGACATGGGAAGTGGCGCTGGAGGAAGCGGCACACGCCGTCCAAACACCAGAGGGGCGCCAGCCGATTCCAACAACTCGAGACCTCAGCGATCGACAAGATCCAGCGGTCCCCCCACGAAGCCTGGCTCGAAAGTACACCAAGCGATTGCTCGACACTTGGACACTGGCGATGGAAATGACTTGGTGACGAGAAGGAAGCCGCAGGGTGCTGGCCTTGTCTGGCTGAGCGTCAAGGGTCTGAAGGAGAGCAAAGCTGCGAGCAATGACGACGGTGGACTGCGGGATCTGCTGATGTTTCTGGAGCGGAAAGCCACGACTCTATCCGGTCGCAATAAAACGGTGCACATTAAGAAGGTATGTCGCGTTATTGTGAGGCTCAGGGGAATTACATAGGGACGCCGAATGATTTAGCCTCGTTGGAACGCCAGTTACTACGCGAAGCGAGAAACAGATAGCTCATACCGGTTGCTTATGCCCTCCTCGTGGTGGGAGTGGAGTTTATAACGACGAAAATCGCTAACGTTCAATAGTCAAGTATGAGAGGGGACTTGGTCAATGTTGCGGCAAGCAAGGAAGATGCGGAAGAAATCCTGAAAGTCAACACTTTCACTTTTGCCGGAACTCAGTTGGAGATCACCGATAGTGACGGATCAATGGCCAAGGCAAACGAAGCATCTGCTGCCGCACAGGAGACAAAACAAAAACTTCAAGGCATCATGTCACTCCGTTATGATATGGAGAACAAGCTTCTGCGACTTGACGCTCTGAATCAAGATGAAGGCCTGATCCAAATGGGAATGTTGGAATCCAAGGATAGGGCCGAGAAGCTCTTCAAGGTCATGATGAGGATCTGCGATGAGCTATTCAAAACAGCACAAGCAAAGATTGATGCAATCCACAGCATCAGCCTAGCCAACAACAACATTGACACAGTCGCCCAAGTCGAAGACATGGCGGATACCTTCCCTGATCTTAAGAATCTTGATCTCAGCGGGAACCAAATTGACAACGTCGCGGGTCTGTCAAGATGGAGACAAAAACTTAAGAAGCTCGAGACTTTGTATCTGACAGGCAACCCCATTCCGATTGCGGATCCCAAAGTTGTGCTTGAGTTGTTGCACTTTTTCCCCAAGTTGCAAGTTCTGAACGGTGAGCAATTGACACCGGAACGAATTGCGGAACTCAAGGCTGCGGGCCGCCCGAAACCGATCCCTCAACGGGGCCCTGATTTCCGCGATGCCAACGGCATTGGAGAAGCATTCCTTCTGGAATTCTTCCTCGGGTTCGACACCGACCGCACCGCACTACTGGCCAAGTATTACGACGACAACAGCCAGTTCTCTCTGGCGGTTGACACGCATTCTGTTCGAGACGAGAACCTGCCACAGCCGATGCCCTGGTCGTCCTACATCAAGCAGTCTCGAAATCTGATGAAGATCACAACCCCGGCCGCTCGAGCTGCCAGGTTGATCACGGGAAGAGAGGCAATTTGGACGTTGTGGAACGACCTTCCGAAGACGCAGCACCCAGACATCAAGGCAGAAATCAGCAAATACATCATGGACTGCCATCTCCTGCCCGGCCTCGCCGACCCTTCGGGCCAAACCCAGGGCGGGGTGGACGGCATGATCATCTCAGTACATGGTCAATTCGAGGAGTGCGACAAAGCTGGCAAGACGGGACTCAGAAGCTTCTCGCGCACATTTGTCCTGGGACCCGGACGCCCCAACACTAACCCAATTCGCGTCGTCAGCGACATGCTCTCCCTGAGAGCCTTCAACCCTCTCCCGAATGTTTTTGTCGCTGAAGCCCAAGCTCCGGCCCCATCCGCACAGGAACAAGAACAACGGCAGGCCATGATTGTCGAACTTTCGAAGCAGACAAAGATGACGCCCACCTACTCGGAAATGTGTCTGTCCGATGTCGCGTGGGACTTTACTCGGGCCTTGGCAGTATTCCACGAGAAAAAGGTAAGAAACCCCGAAACCTGGAACATTCGGAAACCAATACTAAGTCTCGCGTAGGCTCAATTACCAGCAGAAGCATTCGCCAGTGTTTAGAAAATGCTGTGCTCGTCTCCATCGTTCTGGGGGCATTGATGGGCCCGGAGGACATGGATGGATTAGGAAAGATCATGAGGGGGCTGGCCAAGTACGACATCCGCCGTCTGGCCCACACGGACGATGTATCGAAAGGAGACAAATGGAAAGGGGAAGACCAAAAAAAAAAAAACCCACATTCTGGAGGGAGGTGGTGAACAATACTGGGAAGGGGCCCTGGACAATCGTTCATGGCTCGGAAGAAAGGAGGAATAGTCATGCACCCCAGGCGCGAGGCGGAACGAGATGGGAAATCCAGAGATCGGCTTGGCGATGGGTTTGGGACGTTCTCTAACGGCCTCCGTACCTATATATACACTCTAGTCCGCGGAAAGCGAAGCGCAGGCAGCGACATGTTTTTTTTGGTGTTGAGGAGACGATTGCTGCTACAGCCTAGGGTGGTGGAAACCGGAAATAGCATCAAGATTGCTTGCCTCCATGTTCATGAAATCGCCCATTTACCTTGACTATGTAAACATCAACAATTTGAATGTGCGATTTCATTTTGGATGAGGAACACGGCGCTAAACAGACGTCATTAATGGGTCCTGATTTCAGTGACATTCGCGAATAGCAGCTCCGATTCAGCATGGACCATAAATCACAAGAAAATGCATATTCAATTGTGATGCTAAATGAAGACGAGAAGCTCTGGGTAAACCAATGGGAGATGAGAAGTCCCAATGGGGATCCCGCAGGCGCGCACTGGTTCGGTCACGAGATGACAAAGAAGAGACATCGTGTACTTTGAGTTTAATGAAGAGCGGCAAATAATTAGCTGCGTCAACAACGAGTGACATTCTTTTCTCCATTGGGCCCGAACGAATCGGATCCGAAGAGTGGTGTAAGACAGACTGTCAGTGTGTGTGTGTGTGTGTGTGTGTGTGTGTCCGGAGTAGCACCGTTGTGGTGGCTTCGAATTGGTTCGCAATATGATTGAAGTCCATGTCTCTTGCGGGCGCTTACGCAGTGCCAGTACTGGTGGCTATAGGGATTCTCTTTTTGGGGGCGGGGGGAGGGATGAGGGTTTCGGCCGGCGCGAAGTTCACATGCGCAAGGTCAAGTGCTTGTCGTTTTGCTCACCGACAAAAACTGAGTGGGTGGAAAGGGCCGTCGCGTGAGTTACAATTTGGTCTTCTTGTCTTGGCGTGTGTGGCGATGCAGAGGAGGCAATTAATTGATTTGATTGATTGCGGGGGGTTGATACTGGGAAGAGGCGACTTCCGAATGATGATGTGCGTCTCCCTGTTCGGCCGAAGAGTTGCGATGATGGATGAAAATAGGTGATGACTAAGGCACTGCCAGGTAACAGAGGGGAGAGCCTCCGATTCGAATCTGCGGTATCATGCATGCGTGCCGGGTGATCCCTTTCCACACCAAATGCTTTTCCGGAAAGGGTGGTCGTTTCTTCCCGGGTTTGTGTCTGCTTACCTACTCCGTAGCACGGGAAAAGGTGTAGCGCCCTGGAGGGGGGAGAGGCTCTCATTTGGATAAGGTAGATAAGCTCAGCGTGCATGCGATTCGTGACGAGCTATATTGCGCAGCCGCCTGGGGGGGAACCATCATCTTTTTTTGGCGCTTTGCGACGACTTTGGTGTGGAAAAGCCATCCATGGCGAAAGCGCCGGGACCGAGAAGTTGGCCGTTGTGTCTCTTTCGTCGGCTTCTTCGGTTCATGTCACTGGCACTCCATGTCTTGCATTTCATAGACATCTCCCGGGCCCGCGCTGAGTGAGCCACGGCCCAAGGGAAGAGCAGATTTTATGGTTTTGCCGGAAGGAAAGAAAGTATTGGGCGGGAAGCGGCGGGATAGGACGCGGATGGACGTAAAGACTTGAGATGATTTATGCCGGCAATACGAGAACTGAATTCTGTGCGGGGTTCTATGATGATTGGAAGACGACTGGAAGCCGTTCATCGCAACGAGTGCTCAGACCGGTTCTTGGATGCCGGAAGGAAGGGCTGGCTTGTCTTCTGTAAGACGGTGTACGTCCTCCTTTTGCTGTTGCGGTGCTTGGGTTTTGCTGACACCTGCTGGCACTGACAAGTGACTTTGGATGTCCCTTGGACAAGCGCCCGCGAGAACGGCCGATTCGGAGAACCCTCTAATGGTATAAGAGAGAGAGAGTGCACAGGCACGCAGGCACGTTCCTTGAGGGATTGAGGGATGGATGGGCCGGCCAAGCGTTGGAAGTTGATAAGATTTTTTGAAAGAGGGGGAGGGGAGGGGGAATCACAGATTCGAGATTGAGGATGAATAACAACCCCCCCCTCCGCGAGTCCACCCCCCTGGCTCTGCCATTTTCCTACGATACACGTCCTCTTCAAACCAGGAGGTGCTTGAGTGGGGGAGGAAGCATTTATTTCAATCCTTTTTTCCCCTTTCGGAGGAGATGATGCGGCAAAGGCCTGCCTCACTTGGGCGCCCGGCGCCCCTCTTCGACTTTTTCTCCATTCTCGTTCCACAGCAGCCAGACATCGTCTTGTGTCGCGTACAGTGGAATGGGCGAGGATCGCGGTCGGGTATGTGAAGAGCCGGAGCCGGCTAAAAAAAGGGGGAAGAGGATGGAGGGGTATTACAGAAAACGATGGTTCTTGGTAGATGATGATAGAGTACGGATGCCCATCACTTACATCTCGTCGAGAGATATCATAGTACATGTAACTAGTACCTTAGTTGATGACATCACCCAAGTTGTATGGACTCTCTATGCGACTCCCACTTTGATCGCGACGAATTCTTGCCTTTGATGGCGAGTGCCCATGGAAAATGTAAGTCAATGAATGGTGGGATGGGCTGTCGAGGGACTCGAGTCTCTGCTGCGTGGCATTGGAGCCCAACCCAGCGCGGGTCGAGACCTTTCCTCTTCCCGATGATGCCGTGCCGGCAGGACGGTGGACCGCGGACACGGGGTGACGGGGATGGGCCTCAAGTTGGAAGCGAATGAGAAGGGTTCGAGCGAATCCGGTCAGTATGCCGTCATGGCCTTTCCCGTTTCCATCAAATACTGCTCGTCTAGACATATTATAAGTTAATAAGGGCTTGCCATGTGTACTAGAATGTGTTTGATGCAGGTGGACGGGACCGACGGGTTCATTGGATATGCGGACATGCACAAGGGATGTCGAGAGTTGTTCTTAGAAAGGACACACTCACTCTATTTGCGAGCAGGGCCCCATAGTCCCATCCCATGCCCCCTGGAGGACAATAATTACAGGCGTCAAGCCTCACCTCAGCACTGCAGCGTGTATGCAGCTGATGAGCTGAGCAGGTACACCGCGCGCAGGTGCTGAGTGAATAAATGGCGGACGTTTCTCAGTCGAAACGGAAGGGGTCGACCTTTGGGTCCTACTGGACGGCCTGTGGTTGCATCGCCAGCTGGTGGGCACCTTGCGGTTTTCGGTCTTGGTGGTTCAGGGGCGCTGTCGGTTGCTGCAGGGGTTGGCTTGCTTAGCGCGTTTCATCAAGAATGCCATTGGACAGGCGGTACGTACCTTGCATCCATCACCTGCATCCGCTTCTCTCACCCGTCTGTACCTTGAGGTACGTGCTCACCTTGCACTTTCACCTATCTCTTTTTCGCGCAGTCTCTCTTCCTTCTCGGGCATGACAGAGTCAAGAGATGCCAAGCCAGCCAGGACGGGGGGAAAGAAACGCCCACGTTTGTCCAGTCCAGCAACGGAAAGCCTGCCATCCAGGCCTTCTCCTGACGAGCATTCACCTGCCGCGGTTTGCTGGCCTCTACCCCGGCCATCGGTAGCAGTGGGAATGGGAACTAAGGATTCTCTCACCCACTCTTCCTTGGGGTGGGCTTGGCGACCATGCCCGTTTGCTCACATCATTGCCCCTTCTTCGGTCTTGCACTGCAATTTTCGACTCCCAATCTCGATGGACTGTCCCACGAGGTTGCTTAACGCAACTTCAACGCGCTTTCTTTCAAGCTTCTGTCGTCCCGACCTGCTCTAGCCTCTGATGAGGTACGTGGTGCCACACTAGACCTGAATCTGAGCAACCGGGTAGTCGCCGCGCCAATCTCCCTCGTCCACGGGCCCTTCCCCCTCCAAAAGATCCAACGAGCGGACGACATGCCGTTTTTTGATTGCTCCCAATTTGCGCTGGCGGTGCTCTCCCGTGGCTTTCCCCAGCTTTCCCGGCCCATTCATCCACCGGAATCCTCATTCAATTTGACGAGAGTGGTGCAGACAGACGGTGCAGTATGACGCCAGGCCGCCAATCTCCTCCAAGTCTTGAACTCTCTGCCCACTGACAGTCTGTCACGGGCCTCTTTTTACTCACTCTTTTCTTTCCTGCCGCTGGTCTCTCTTGCGGTGGCTCCCCGTTTGTTCAAGGCCCCATCTCGCCGTCCCGTTGCAGGGCCGCTGGTGTCTCGATATTATTATTGAAGGCCGAGAGCCGGAAGCAGGCGCCCACTTGGCGGCCCCTTGACCCATTTGGGGGCTCTCGGATCTGGCACTGTCTATCGTCAATCGGCTGTCCTATTGGAGTCCTATTGGAAAGGAAGATCGTGGTTGGGTTCATCTGCATCATTGGGGCCCTCGATTGAAGGTCTGATGCTTCGTCTAGATGAGCAACGGGTGATCAGGCACACGGCATGAGATATCAATTCGAAGGAGCCAAGCCAATCAACAAAGCAATGAACGGACCGCTGTCAGTCAGCCGTCGTCTGGTGTGATGTGTGTCTGTCCTCCCCCCGTCCTTCGACACAAAGTCAAAGTCTGTCGAACCCCGTACGGGCCACGGACCACGGACCACGAGCCACGAGCCACCAGTGACGAGTGACGAGCAACTTCGAGCATCCGGCACGAGGCCGAGGAAGAAGAAAACGAAGAAAGACAGATGACTGAATGGCAGTTGCAACGGCCGACTTTTCTTACCATGTCACGCTTGCTTTACCATCACTGGCGCGCGCGGCGTGCCTCTGCTTGCTTTTACACCTGCGCGACACAGGCAAACAGGCTCGCATCAGCACACTCAAGTCTCAGCATACCGGCACTCAAGGCCCAGCACTAGAGTACTAGAGCGATGTAGGCTGAACGAGGTCCGCCCGTTGTCAACGCAGTGATGGACTGGTTGACTGCTAGCCGTTCAACCGTTTGGCTACCGGTCAATGTGTCTTGGAAGAGGACAAGAGTTCCACCCGACTGGCGTCAAAGGCCCCCTTCCACCCTCCACCTGTGTCCAGGAACGATGAAATTGGGCTTGCTGATAGGCCCGTCACCCCGGCTCCCCCTTTTCCCAATCTCGTGCTGGACCGCAAAAAAGGCACTAGGATCCAGCCTCAAGGGTAGCTGCGTCGTCGGCCTGTACCTGGGCGTCACCGCAATGTCTCACCATCCGTCCAAGTATTCTTGGCCCGCTCTCTACTTTGGCGCTGGTGCCGTGGATGCCCAGGAACCCCCTGGTCTGTCCCCCATTTGACGGCTCCAGCACAGTCTGATTCGTCCGTCGTCAGTCCAAGCCACCCCGGACCAGGGACCAGGACGTTCCTGGCGACCCCCGGTCGCGATTCCCCGAATCCCTGCCTCGTGTTTCCTTCGCCTGCAACTTGGGCTGTACCTGGTCGACTCCTGCTGTTGCTGCTGCTGCGGCGGCCCTGTCAGTCGAGCGCAGCAGTCGGACGAGGGTACCACTCTTTTCCTTTCGCCTCTCTTCCTCTCTGGCTCTGCTGCTGGTCTCTCCCTTGGTCTCCGTTTCCTTCTCCTCCTTCTCTCCTCCTGGTGCCGTGTGTGCATTTTTCGCTCTTTCGAGGTGGAATTGCTACTCATCGTCTGGAACGTTGAATCTCGCGAGATCGAAACTAAGAACAACACAGAGTCGCTCATTGCAATATCCTCTTCGCCTCTTCGATTCCTAGACGCGGCAATTTGCCCATCTTCTCCCTCTTCCACCAAAAATCCCGACCCGACCGACACGAGCAGCAGTAATAGCCCGGGAGCGATACGACATATCCACGACACACACACACACACACAAACGAATCCGACCAACGACTGCGAGGTATCCGCTTGGTCATACCCAAAACCTGCGACACCACGGCCCTGAGGACTCGGGAGAATTAACAGCTTCTTGTTTCCCTTTTACTCATCCATCCAGCCTTTTTTGGTCCTGGCCTTCTTGTTTGTCTAGGACTAGCTGCCTGTCGAGAAACACCAGAAACTTTGTTCTGCAGATCAAACTCCGAGACACGGGCACCACTTATCGTCCACCTCGAGCTCGACGGCTCGGTTTCTTTCTCCCTTGGGACCTCCGCCCGACCTTCATTTTCGCCCTCTCGTCCCCAGAGCTTGGGACTGAACGCACTTCGACATTTCGACCACTTGGAAATCTCGCGGCCACTGGCTATTGTGCTTGGAGCGTTGGATTGTCACTGCAGAGGTCATTTGCCAGCGGCCGTTTCAACGATTGCGTCGGGCCAACTTTCATTGTGAGGAACTGCATCAAGACGCAACAATTTTACAGGCATTTTAACGATATGCAGTAGACTGGAACGCCTCCTAGCTACTCACTCTTGAACCCACCTACCTCGACACCGACAACAATACACCATTCTCAAATACGCATCAAAGGAGACGAACACGATGAAGCTCCCCGAACCCAAAGTCGCTTTGGACAACATCTGCTCGGTTATTTACAACAACGTTCTTTACACATATTCTGCCGGTGCTTTCCAGTCACTGGCGCTCGAAGAAGGGGCAAAATGGAAGACATTGGCGCAAGGCGAGCAAGTAACGGGTGCTGTTTGCGTGGGCTCCAACCCCACTGATGCTAGCAAGGCCGGCTTGTACATTGTGGGAGGCAAGGGCACGTCTCAAGACTACCACGGACTCCAAAAGTTCACCTACGCGACCGGAAAATGGGAGTCCATCTCACCACAGGACCACGTCACCCAAGACCGACTCCTTCATGGAGCAACATATCTCCCTGGTACCGACCAGATCATCATGTACGGCGGCAGTCAAGATGGCTACTCTGGTCCTTCAACGCAGACTTTCGTTGTCGGAGCATCCGCGCCTTACGACACCCGGGCCTACGAATCTTCAGCACCGCCTGTCGTCAATCCCATTGTCTTGACATGGTCTGACACTCAAGCCGTCGTCATCGGAGGCAGTACTACAAACAGCAAGATCATGCTCTTCAACCCCGACACAAAATGGACCGATTCGGGTGCGACGCTCGGGGAACCCTTGATGAAGGATACGACAGCGATACGCGCTATTATCATGAATGGGGACGACGGAAGCAAGAGTTTGTACACCTTTGATTTGTCGATAGCGCCGAATGTGGTAAAGCGCATGGTTCTCGTTAACGCGGCTGGCGCCCCTGTGGCCAATTCCCAACCGGTATCGAAGGCGAAGGCGCGCAGCGTGGCAGGCGACGTTGAGAAACGCGCCTCCTTGACTCTGAGTGACTGGCCCGCCTACAACAGCACCCTGGCACCCACGGGCACGCGGTCAAACTACGCCCTTGCTCAGGGTTCTGATGGAACAGTCGTTTTTTCGGGAGGCTCAGGTGCCGCCGACGATGTTCTATGCATTTTCAACGCGCGTCAGAACAGTTGGGAAGACGCCGCCCAAAAGTTGAACGAGCAGCAGGTTTTTGCCACAAGTGAATCGACTACCAGCATCAGTGCGAGCTCGACCGCTACGAGCTCCAGCTCCAAGTCCAGCTCTGTGCCTACTCTTCCTGCCTCAGGGTCCGCATCTGCCTCCGCCTCTCTCTCCGCCTCTGCATCTTCATCTACCAGCTCCGAGACTGCTGCTGCTGCTGGTGCCCCCGCCGCGGTCAGTGCCAACGCCATTCTCGGCATTGTGCTCGGCACCATCACCGGTATCATGATTCTCCTCGGTCTAATCCTATTCTGCATCCGAAAGCGCCGTGCCAAGAATCAGCAAAACGTGGAGGGCGGCCAGAGCCCGAGAGGCATGAGCCCCAGGGGTTTCCCTGATGAGAAGGCCGGACTTGGTTACGGCAACGACGAATTCAACGCTGCTCCTCAATTGCGTGGTCACCAGCAACAAGACTCGGCCGGGTCGTTCTCTTCCATGGCGATCTTGATGGGCAAGGTTAACGGTAACGCACCCAAGTCCGCCGGTGTTGCCCGTGGCGGAAGCAAGCCCAATACCAACAGCTTCTTCAAGAGCACCATCAGCAAGCCACTTCCTCAGATGAACGAGACACCGGCTCTCGCACCTCCCTCTCGTGATGAGAAGGGTGTTTCGTTCGCCGCCGACGTAGTCGAGCCCCGTCCTACTCCCCGAGGAGCCCCCGTCGGCCGCGCCGGTGAGACACGTAGAAGCTCCGGCTGGAACCGTTACTGGTCAGGCGGCAGTGCACTTAATATTCTCGGATTTGGCAACTCGAAGCGGACAACCGTTGACTCCGAAACCTCTCACTACTCGAACACTACCAAGAACCGCATTACACAAGACTCCGCCACCGTCCCTCCTCTGCATCTCATTACTCAAGACTTGTCCACCGTTCCGCCCATTCAGCACGATGGCCGGCCAGAACTGAGCCGTGTCGTCTCTGGCAGCCCCACGGTGTCAACCTATTCTACCCAGATTCCTTTCCGTGATGGAGTATCTGGAAAGATTGAGTCACCCCGAAGACCCACGTCGAACGCGTCTTCCGGATACTCGAGCGGCATCCCCGAGAGTGTTCGGGACGCATGGGATCCTACCGGCCCTTCAAGACCCTGGGGTGCAGATCGCGCCCCGAGCAGTGTCTATGCCGAGAGTCTCTATCCGACTTCATTGGCTCCGAGCCTTCCGCAACGGCAAACCCAGACCAGTGCTCCCAACGGTGTTAGCCAACAGCCACCTCTCGACCTGGCAGCAACCTCTTCGGACATGAGCTGGCTGAACCTTGGTGAGATCAACAAGCAAAACCTTCGCTAGGTCCAACCGAGAAATGCCTTGAAGCCATGGCGGTAATGAGACAGTAATGGCCATTGCGCGAAACTGCGAGCTCCGCTCACGTCCATGGCGCTTCACGACACCCAAAATCATGATCCGTCCTTTTTTATACCCAGGTCTTTTCCGGAGCATCGTTTTCGGCGGGGGCCTCTGCATTCCAGCATAGACGGCTTAGAACACTCAAAAGTCCACTCGTTACATCCCCTTACACCTACCACCAAGTCTCTCTCGACCACTACACACCCACGAACACTCACATATTGTCCCGCGCAAACTCCCTCTCGACGCATCTCACTCTCCGCCGCGCACACAATTTTCATTACTCCAACTCCTCGTACGACCGCAGACGTGGCATGTCTCTCGGGCGGCGTAATTATCTCCATCCGCTCGTGGACATGGTTTTCCCTTATCTCATGCTGTCTTCCGTTCTCTCTCTCTTTTCCCTTTTCCATTCTCAGCATCATCTCTTCTGTACATTCCTCTTTTTTAGAGCGAGACCCGGGACAGGTCGTTCCCTTCGCAGTCAGTCATTTCCGTGATACCAATATCGCAGAGAACTCAACCACAACCAACAACACAACGCGCATGCCACGCTGTCTGGGTTGAATATGTAATTACCAATTTTTTGTTTACTACATTAAAGGGGGTTAGGGGAGGCATTTCCAAGGGTGTTGATGGGTTGCCAAATGGGGCAACTTCATGAATTTTGGTGGTGTTTTTTTCTTTCCCCTTTTCAGCTGTCACCATTTCACATATTCTTCCGATAGAAGGGGGATGATGGTTGACGAATGAAAAAGGAAAGGGGAAAAGGAGCAACGGAAGGCGGTGGAGGGGTAAAGCAGAGGATGTTGGTATTTATCTTTTGATGAAAGATGAAGAAAATGGCGGTGCGGAGGATTTATTGTATTATTCCTAGCGACTTGTAGGCTGTTGCACAATTGATGGCTTGTCAAGTTATGAACATTGACCTCCCCGTCTCCATCTGCGTCTTCACTTGAGATGAAGGTGCGCTTTACCTACAGTCGACACTGAGATTGGCCTCTCTGCCACTGGCGGATGGCGCTTTGGTTTGAGGGCTTCACAGGGCTTTACTTGCTCCAAGGTCGCTTGTCAAGAATGCCGATATATACAGGCCAACGTAGGTAGGTAGATAGGAGACGAACCCTAAGGTCACAGATCCGAACCATTGGCTTGTATGGCTTTCAGGAGCATTGCATTCGTTACCCAGTCAATATGCGAAGCGCACGTTGGGTAGGTCCTTTTTTTCATTTGCAAGATTCACCGTCATCTTACAGAGAAGTGGCTTCATCACAGTCCAAGCATCAGGCAACTTTCAGAATGAGGGATCCATAACTTTGGGTTCATGGCCCATCTCTTGGAGAGAGGATCAGGTCATAATTGTGCCATCTTTTCCTTGTAGCTTCATTTCCCCCCCAATCCCGTGACTGCGCTGCTGCTCATTTCGGAAGTACCCCCCC